AGTAAAGAGCTTTGAAAGAAAATAGAGGACTTCTGTGTTTTTCTTTTCTTCGTTGTTGTTGTTTAGGGTCATCACACAGTTGCAGGGGGTGGGTGGGTTTGGCTTGCTGGGTTTTCTATTTTACTTCATGCAAGTCATGCTAAGGAACCCCTCCACCCCCCCCTCCCCCAGGAAAATAAAATTTTCAAAGAAGGAAAAGAAATCCTCTATGGTCAGTTACCATTTGGCCGTAGAAAAAGCTACGTCCGTCCTAGTACAATGCCTGGGCCACTCGGACTCGTCCGGCAAACCTGCATGGCGTGAATTTACTCTGTCCGAGGGTGAGGAGGGGCTGCAGGTCCACCCAGATGCTTAATAGCCACCAGTGTCCTGGGCCAAGCCGCCTGGTCAAGTCACTCTCACAGCCTCTGTCGGCATATACTTAGCAATGACAGGGCTTTCTTTGCAAAGATCTGTATGTAAAGAATACAATTAACACTTGAGCGTCTCTTCTTGGCTCTCCCATCCCGCTTGGTACTTAGTTTTTAAGGAGGAGGAGGAAAGACAGAACAGCCGCATGCAGAGGCAGGCAGGTTCTTCTCCAGCTGGCTTGGTTTTCCCATGCAGTGAGCCAGCCCAGCACGCCTCTTCCTCTCCCTCCTGGGGACCGGGGAGAGTCCCTAACTCCTCTCCTACTCTGCACATGGCTTATGGCCTGGAATCATCCTGAGAAATCAAGTCCTTGGCGGCTGTCCTGACTCCACGAGAGCAGGGCTGGGTGGATGTGGGTGGGGGCATCCCCCCTTGGCGCCTCCCAAAGACTCTGGCACCCAGGCCTCTGTGGGATTGGGGGGTGGGTACAGGGAGAGAGGGCTCCCCCTGCCCCACACTCCCTGGGCTGCTGGAAGCACAGTAAAGGGACTCTCCTTTCTGCTCTCCTAGGCCACACAGATTGGTCCAGCACTCAAGGTGGAGGAGGCAGGCAGCCCACGTGACCTTACCAGGCAGAGCACAGCCCCTGGGACAGTACCTGCTTCCCCCTCACTCCCCGGACTGCCCCTGCTCCTGCCTTCTAGAGCCTCCCCAGGGGGTAGAGAGGGGGGGAAGCCAGCTGCATTGGGCCTATCCATGGAAGGTGCCAAGGATCGGCCCACCCCCTCCCAGGCCGGCAGCCCTCCGCCATGCAGCACCATGCGGGGAGCGCTATGCCGCGCTGGGGTCCAAGGGACCTCCAGGCAGGGCCAGGAAGCAGGGACCAGCCTGGGTCAGGTGGGCACACTAAGCACCAGTGACCAAGAGGCCTTCCCACCTCAGTGTAAGCTGCCTCCCCTCTGGGGTTGCCCTGCATTTCGATTTCTGCATTTTCTCCCTGTGTATTGTGGAACCACTTCAAATACTGGAGCACTTGTGAATGGCCACAGGCTACAGCAACTGTTGCTCTGAAAAGCCAACTATCACTGCGGCCCAGCCTTCTCACCCTAGTCAGCATGCATCCCACGTGAGCGTGAGGTGCTCCCACACAGGCACGAGCTGCCTGGCCAGTCCACTGTGCTGAGGATGGCTTTCTCCGCCTTCTGGGCCCTGGGCCGCTGCCTGGAGCCTGGAGCTAGGGTGCTCTGGGCTCCCGCCCCAACCTCTCTCCAGCCCACGCTCAATCAAGCTCTTCCCCAGGTGTCAGCCTAAGATAAGGGTCGGGTAGAAGGAGTCCTTGAGCAGAGGCCTCCGCAGGGCTCAGCCTTCACCAACCACAAGGGGGCGCTGACCACACCCGGGGCCAGGCTAATCAGGGTTGGGGATGGAAGGGGCTGCACAGAGTCCCATGTTAACAACCTTCTCTTGGCAAATTCTCTGTCACTAGCAATATTCTGACTGCAAGGACACTGGCTTCAACCCCAAGCCTGAGAAGGAACCCCAAGGCCTGAAGCCACCTTTTTCTTCATGGTTCCCCTCCCAATGGTCTGTGGATTCTCTTTAAAGGATGCCTTTTCCAGAACATACTAAGCCCACAGGGTCCTGGCCAGGCCAGGCCCGTCCCGTGTCCTCCTCAACCACTAGATGGGAAGATCACTCTGCCTTGGGTCTGACCTGCCTGCCAGAGCAGCCTGGAGCAGTCGAGGCTCCTCCCAGCACCCCTGGGTACCCTTCTGCTTTTAGGGTCATGGCCCGTAGTCAGCCAGCCTGTCCCCAAGCCCTTCCTATCCCTTACGTACTGATCTTTAATATCAACCCACAGCTGCCTGGACCTCACGTTCTCACTGCCAGCCTACATCCCACTTAGGAGAGAGGAAGTCAGATCCCGAGGGGCCGACCCTGGGGGCTCCTCCTGCTCCCTGCCCCCCATCAGTGTGCCTGCCTGCCCCTCAGCGCCCCTCGCCCACCACCCCGCCCACCCATCTGCAGGAGCGGGAGGTGAGGCGGCCCGGTGGATGCAGTGCCCCAGCCTCCTCTACATACCCTTTCTCATTCCTCCACCAGGTGGGCACGTGTACTCCCCAGTTGATAAGAGGAAGCAGGGTCCGTATCTCTCGCGGGTGCCCGAGCGCGTAAAGGGCAGGCCCTCATCGGGAGTGAGGGCCTGGTCTATGTGGGGGCAGTCTTCGTTCGCCAGCGCGGCCTTCGCCACCTCCCCATTCAGTTTGGAATCTTCAAACATATAAGCAGAAGCTATTGAGACACTGAAAACTGTTTAGTGGGGGGGACAGGCCGGAGGTGGGGCATTGGCAAAGGGCAGCCCATCCCTGAGAACCAAAAAGTGAGGGGCCACGGAGGGAGGCACGAGGCTGGGGTTCCGGCTCATTCAGGCTGCCCACGGGCTGCCCGCAGTGCTGCGAAGGAGGGGCTCCTGGGTTTGCTCAAAGTTTGCAAAAAGATGAGTTGGCGGGCCCAGCAAGCGCGGTGCTGGGGGCTGGGCCCAGGGCCCAAGGCCCAAGGCTGGGCCGATGAGACAGATGGTGTGGATGCGGACATGGAGAGAGGGCCAGACACAGAGCTCAGGGAGAAGACAGACAGACATGCTGAAACACTGCAGTCCAGAGAGGCAGCCTTTCCTGACCCCTCTGCTGCTGACCAGAGCTGAGCGGCCTCCCATCCTTATCCAGCTCAAGCTTCTCTAGCCCCAACCAGACCCCATCCATCACCTCTACCTCAGCCCCATTTGGATCCCATCTGCTCACTCACTTCACGCTGCCCACCACGCACATCCTATCTGACCACATAGCCTGCCCGCCCCCCGTATGTATCTAATCTGGTCACTCTGTATGCCCTGCCCCCCATGCAGACTAGGCATGGCCACACAGCCTCCTCTGTCCCAATCTGACCAGTCAATCTGCTCCACCCTCCACAAAGACTTAGGCTGGTCATTCAGTCCGCCCTGAGGCCCACACAGACCAAGCCAGTGGCTTCCACTGCGCTCCACACCAAGCAGGCCTGGTCAGCTCGCACAGGCACGACAGGGATGTTTGCATGAGGCAGTGACAGCGGCCATGAGTCGGGAGGGGCTCCCATTCTTCTGTCTCCTCTCAGCAGCATCCCCCGAGAAGCAGAGCAAATGGATGTGTAAAGACAACAGCAGCGGATGGACTCAGGTGGGAAGGCGAGTCTTGGCCTCTGTGGTAGCCTGAGAAGGAACCTGGGGGGCACCTTTTGGGGGGGGAGGGCAAAGTGTGGCCAGAGTAGGGAGCTCACCCTCTCCCAAGTCCAGGAGCATCGCCATGGACACCTCTGGACCTGGCGGAGGTAGCGCTGTCTGGCCTCTGCCCCGCCCACCACTCCTGGGGACTGAGCCTGCCCCACGCTCTCTGCTCTCAAAGCAGAATCTTCCTGGCCAGGGTGGGGCCCACCCAGTCCCCACAGTGGGCACCCTGGCTTTCTCAAAGACTTCCTCTAGGGTGAGCGCCTCCAGGGGAGACAGACCCCACCGTGAGTGGACCACAGGAGGGGAGGCTCTTGGAAAGACTACAGGGGGAAAAGCTGGAGACAGTCTCCTCCCGATTTGACCCTCTTCCGTGACCCAGTTCACATCATGTAACTACACGCAGAGGTGATCCTCTTCCGCGGGCACACGCTCAGTATGCCTGCGGGCGGGATCACGGCCGTGTGCACATCATGTCACTACAAAGAGGCAGTCAGTCAAAAGTGAAATGGACCAATCAGGTTTATTCGTAAAGCAAATCCAAAAAAAAAAAAAATCCCATCATAATTTTGGAACTTAAAAAGTCTGCATACAAGATGGAAAGCAGTTCACGTACAGTGCGTTTCTCCACAGATCCCAGGGGCTTCACTTCCCGCTTTACGCTGAGCCAGAAGGGCCAGTTACCAAGGTAACTCTGACACCACGTGACTGGGGCTGGGCCTCTCGGGTTGGGGGGCTGCCTAGCACTTGGGGCGTGTCTGCGGGCACACACCTGTGCGTACAGACAAGCCCGGTCCTGCCTCCCACTCTGGCTGGCCCCTGGCTTCCCTCCCAAGGGTCTCTGGGCTGAGGGAGGAGGGTGGTGGGGAGGGGGGGCGATATAAGGGAGGAGGATGTGGAGGAGGGTGTGAAAGTCGGGGCCCATAGCACTCTGCACACATTTTCCTCCAGGGGAAACAGCAAGTCCTCCCAGCAGCGTCTCCATCTGGGCCATCGTCTGTCAGTGGAGGTGCCCACAGCCTACCGTTCTTGCCCAGGGGCGGGTCAAAGGTGGGGGGTGGAGCCCGAGACTCCTCTGGCTCTGAGTGCTTCCTCCCCACCCAACGGCTCTGCCCCCCAGCGCCAGGCCCCTGGAGCATCCAGCTTCCACAGGCTGGTTTTCCCTGCAGGGAAGGGAGCGGGAGCAACTGGCAGGGATCCCTGGGTGGGTGAGCTGTGCACCCTTCCTTCCCTGAAGGGACCCCAGGACACACCTGGGTCTGCTTCTCTCAACCATGACTTTGAGGAGGGGCTATAATTGGGTGAGAGTGTTTAGGTCTTGTTCTGTGAGGGAGCCAGCCTCCCTGGGCTGTTGGTTTATCTGCAGTTTGGGGTGCTGTCAGAAACGGGGAGCATTCTCCCTCCCCAGCTCCAGAGGGGCGGCTAGAAGAGAAACAAAGGAGGGGCCAACTCTCCAAACCTGGGGAACCCACACAAAAGGCCAGAGGGTCAGCTCTTCCAAGATTCCCCCCCTGATGCCCTCACCCCCGCCCCCTTGCATGAGATGGCCACCAGGAGCCTCGGTTCCCACCTGCTCCCCAGAAGGTGGGGAGACCTGCCTCCCCGGCCCAGGGCCCCTCAGCCCCACTAGCCCCGCGGCTTGCGATGATGAAATGGCAGCATGGGCAGCGGCTCGCAGAGATGGTTTCCAGGCTTTGAAATGGGCTGAGATAGATGAGCGTCCGCGAGAGGGTCATTTTTTTTTAAACTTTGGAGCAAGGAGAACCCGGTGTCAGGGCCCTCAACCAGCAGGGCTGGCTTTTTCGCCCTCGTCTCCAGGCACCACCGACGTACTTACTGTTCAGACCAGCAGCGGGCGCCGGGGGCGCACACAGGGCTGGGGCGGGGTGGGGGGTTGCTGGGCATTTCCTTGGGTTTAGCTCCAAGGGGTCTGCCCAGGAGGGGGCTCAGGGAAAAAGTCCCAGGCTATCGGGGGACAGTCTGTGAGAGACAGGAGCAGGGTACAGTCACGAGAACCGGCACAAGTCATGCAACGAAACGAGGAGAGAAAAAGAGAGAAACATGATTAGTGGAGAGAGAGAAAAAGAGAGAATATGAAAAACACAGAAAGAACACCAGGCCTGGCCCTCAGAGTTGCGTCATTTTTCGGAGCCTTCCCTCTTAGCCCGCTTGGGGGCCACACGGACCCCACACGGGCCCCAGCTGCCCACCCTGACCCTGTATCTGAGCAGAAACTTGATCAGCTCATGCAGAGGGGCCCTGCCCACCCTGCCTGGTCACCTCTGCCCCAGGGGTCACTCTCCCGGCCCCGGGCCAGCACCACTCCCAGCCCTCTCTGCAGACAAGCACGGGAAGGGAGGGCCGGGAGCGGGGCACTGTGGACTTGCTGCTCAGGGGACAACCTCCCACTGCCACCCCACAGGTGACCCAGAGACTGCAGTGGGCTCCCAGGGGGCCCGGGCAGGGTCTTCGCTGGGGCCTCACTGCAGCTCTGTGTGCCTGTGGGCAGGAAAGGGGGTCTGGCCACCACCTCTCCCGCATGCAGGCCCCCCTGCTCACCTATGGCGGGACCCCGTAGTCTGGACACCACATCATAGAGGACTGACCCACACCACAGGAGCAGAGAGGGACAAGACATACGTGAATGGACGTGAGCAAGTGAGCTGGGACCCCTGGCTGCAGAGGGGAGTGGGGAAGGCCCTTTCTGGGAGAGGAGCAACTTCTCCTGGGCTATGTGCCCCAGGCAGCCTCTGATGATGTGGGGTGACCTCCTGGCATCCCTCTGTAAGGTCCTTCAGCCCCCCAGGACAAGTCCCCCCAACACTGAGGCCATGCCAGCCATGGTACAGAGGAAAACACCAGATCATCCTTCACAGACAAGGGACCTGAGGCTTGGGGAGAAAGCAGACGTAGAGGGGAGGGAAAGGGGCTGCTGGCAGGACTGGGAGGCCTTGCTGGAGTCCCAGGGATCCCGCCCTGGTAGGGGAGGTGCCCTCAGAGACCAGCATGCGGTACTCGGCCCCATCCCAGCTTCTAAAAGAGGAAATGGAGACCCCGGGGTTTCCCTGAGGCCGCTCCCCTGCCCCTGGGGGTGGAGTGAGGCTGGAAAGACCTGGGGTGCTGCATCTCACCCTGCTCAATCCTTGCAGGGCCAGTTCTCCACCCATATTTGCCTTCCTTTCCTCTGGCCTCCCCACTCATTCATGAATGCATCCCCAGCCCACACCCATCCAGGTGCATAGCTGAAAGCAGAAAAGGAGGTGAATGGGAAGGGACTCAGGGAGGCAGAGATGGGGACACATCCCTAAGGACCACACCCCTCTCAGTGACAGTTAATCTGGGTCTCACATGCCAGCTGTTGGAGGAAGGGGTGTTCTGGTGAAGCTCAGAGGAGGTCTCAGAATCAAGGCGGGTGGGTCTGGACATTAAAACAGCACCGGCCGGGGAGGGGAGTACTTGGGCAGGGGGTAGAGATCCAATGTGGGGAGGGAGGGGAAAGGCAGGAGGAGGATCCCGGCAGCTGGGCTCCAGAGGACAGGCTTGGGAGGGCCCAGAACACCTTCTCAGCCACAGAGACTGCTCCTGCCGGAGCTCTGGGTTCCTGAGGCCCGGGGCCAGGGCCGGAGGCTGCAAGGGCAGGACTGCCATGGCCGTGGGCCTGGGGGATCCCACAGGGGTGCATGGGCTTCCCAGGTCTGGTGCAGCATGGGAAGAGGGCTTGTGTCCCAGGACTGGCTGGTGTACATGTCAGAGCACAGTCTGCTCTCTGTGTGTGCGCATGCATGTGTGTGTATGTGTGCATGCATGTGTGTGTGTGCGTGCGCTTAGCACACGAAGAATACTGGCATTGTCAGGGATGAGGACAGTCGGTGCCTGACTGGAGTGAACTGGGGATCCTTGACAGGGTGGCCTGGGCGCCCATGCTTGGGGCACCGATATGGAAAGATCCAGTGTGGGGGAGATTGATGGAAGGGCCAAGTAGCACCATGGTGATGCCACTCAGGCTCAGCTCTTCCTGAGGGGCCTGGAGTAGAGCTGGGGGCTAGGCTAACCTGGACCCTCTCCTAGAGCCCCAGGAACTTTCCTTGTCATGGTGGTGGCTCCTGAGGTCAAATAGCTAGTTAACCCAGAGCAGGGAGGTGGGGCAGGAGCCATGCCTTGGCAGGGAAGCCCAGCTCCCCTCTGGCTCCTATTCCAGCTCCTGCCACCCTCTGGCCAAGCCCAGGACACTAACCAAGTTCCTTTCAGGTGCCTACAGGAATCCCAGGAAAGGGAAAGGTATGGGGACAGGAGAAGGGGCTGGAGAGCTCCCATGGGCAGAGAAGTACTGCTCTGGGCAGCATAGCTGTGGAATAAAGCCGGATCGTGAGCAGGATGGGGCGGTTGGGTAGAGAGAGCATCAGCAGGGAGAAAGAATCAATCATACGCTGGGGGAGACCACCCAACCTGGGGGAAACTTGCTCATCTAGGGCTGAGCTAGCCTGCAGCCCCCTGCCAGACTTTGGACCCGGGGTCTCCCTCACAAACTAAATGCTACCTATCACTCATTCAGCCCCCTCACCCCACGGAGCTTCACTCAGTGCTGTATTCTTCTCTGGGTCATCCATTCCCTTGAAATCCCTGTGTCCACAGAATAAGTCGATGGTATTCCATGGGTAGAGGTAGACTATGGGCTTTATATCTTCGGACCAGAGCCCCGTGATCAACTTTATGTGCTATGTGCAGGTTCTCATAAAACTGAGATAGTCCCATAACGAACCACTAGCCATGGAATATTAGAATATATCCCACGGTGACTAGTATTGTTTCATGCCCCACCCTCCCCCTCCCCCCTCCCCGACCCCCACCGAATTCATGGGAAAGTGGTTGGGCACTGGTTGGGGTGTCATGTATTGCTGCTGCAGTCCCTTCCATCGGAAGTGGGGAGAACCATCGGTGGGAGGTGGTGGCTGGTCTGTAGCGCTTTCGCCTAAGCTGCCCGGGGTGGTGGCCCCGCTAATCCTTTGCTCACCAGCCGCTTCCATCAGAAGACCATCGGAAACTCCCACTCAACCATCAACCCAAACAGACAATGTGAAAGCTAGAGTCACTCCAACAGTTTCTAAAGATAAACGCTAAACTCTAGAGTGATGGTAGAAGATGAGTTGGTTCAGCATGCTATGGGGAAGTAAGCTTGTTACGGAGGGCTGGAGGCGTCTCCTAGGACACACCTGGAGCCAGGCAGCCCGAATCAGAGCACGAATTCTACTCGGCTATGGAGACAGGCTCTGTCGGGGGTGAGCATCCTTGCTACTGCCTTGGCAGGGACCCTCCTGCCAGATCCCATGCACCACTTGTGCCGTCTGCACAGCCTGAAGGGAGCCGTGTAAAGACCAAATCAGAAGCTGTCTGCCATTTCCAAATCACGCCCACCCCCTGCCCGGCCCGGACACCAGGTCAGTGGCCTGAGTCAGAGACTCACGCTGGACTCCTGCCCACCGAGCAGCAGCTCCCGGGCTCCTGCTAAGAGAGTCCTCGGCAACCTCGAGGGCCATGTCGTCTCTTCAGAACCTCATGAGACCAGCGCGTCAACCTCCTTACCCGGGGCCACCAGTGAGGTTCCTCTAGCTGGCCCTCGCCTCGTGAACTTGGCTGCCCAGCATCTCCCTGGGCCCCCAGGCTCCACACCTCAAGATTGAGTGTGGGGGTCCGGGGTTGCCCCATGGAACTAAGGAAGCAGTCTGACTGAATCTGGAATCATCGCTACAGGGGGCAGAGGTGAAAGGTCAGATCGACATGCCTCTAAGAGGTTTCCTACCTGCTCTGTTAATTTCTAAAATTTCTTCCTGGGCCAGCGGGCATGTGTCACTCTGAGTACTGTGGTGTGGAGAGTTTACGACAGATTTACAATAATTGGGAGATCCCAGCTGCGGCGGCCGTGGAATATGCTTCTTTTTTTTCTTTGGTAGTTTCTGCTTAGCCATGGCTAAGGAGTAGTACATCCCGAAATTGTTCACGATGACGGGCACGGGCATGGCGATGGTCAGCACGCCCGCCAGTGCACACAGTGCTCCCACCAACATCCCGGACCATGTCTGCGGGTACATGTCTCCGTAGCCCAGTGTTGTCATGGTGACCACGGCCCACCAGAAGCCAATGGGGATGTTCTTAAAGTGGGTGTGCTCACTGGCACTGGGGTCATTGGGCCGGGCCCCTATCCTCTCAGCGTAGTAGATCATGGTGGCGAAGATCAGGACACCCAGGGCCAGGAAGATGATCAGCAGTAGGAACTCGTTGGTGCTGGCGCGGAGCGTGTGGCCCAGGACCCGCAGGCCCACAAAATGCCGGGTCAGCTTGAAGATGCGCAGGATCCGCACGAAGCGGACGACGCGCAGGAAGCCCAGGACGTCCTTGGCAGCCTTAGAGGACAGGCCGCTGAGGCCCACCTCCAGGTAGAAGGGGAGGATGGCCACAAAGTCAATGATGTTGAGCGAGTTCTTGATGAACTCTACCTTGTTGGGGCAGAAGACGACACGCATGAGGAACTCGAAGGTGAACCAGACCACGCAGACGCCCTCGATGTAGGTGAGGAAGGCCTCCGTCTCTGCTTCCCGGTAGTAGCGCACTTGCGTGCCATTCCGAACATTCTCGATCTCCGTCTTGTTCACAATGGGGTTGAAGCGCTCGTGGGTCTCTAGGCAGAAGGTGGTGATGGAGACCAGGATGAAGAAGAGGGAGGCCAAGGCCACATACTGTGGGGGAGAAACACAGTGTCAGAGGGCAGGCCCTCCCACCCAGAGCAGAGAAACTGGGGGTGCCTTTGTGTTGGGTCCAGTCAGATGCCAGGTCAGGGAAGACGCCAGCACAGTGACCCTGCCAACACAGGGCCAAGCTAACATGCCACTCTTCCTTCCTCCGGGCACGGGGTAAGGACGCTCAGGGAGTTAAAGGGTTGTGGCAGAGATTCCTTTGTTTTCACAAACATGTTTCCTTTCCTCTTGGATGTGCAGCTAGCCTACATTTCCCAGCCTCCCTTGGGTTAGATGGGGTCAAGTGACTGAGTTCAGGCCAGTGGACAGTGAATGAAAGGGGTAGGCATTAATGCCAGGTCTAGCTCATAAACCCTTCCTGCTCAATCTTCTATGCTCTTTCTTCCCCCTTCTCCACCCCCCCCCCCCCCCACTTCTAGCAGTGCCACCAGGAGGAAGGAGCCTGGGTCCCTGAGAAGAAAAACCACTAAATACTCTCGTTGAACTATTACTTGAGTGGGAAATATACTATTTTTTTTAAATATATTTTATTGATTTTTTACAGAGAGGAAGGGAGAGAGACAGAGAGTTAGAAACATCGATGAGAGAGAAACATCGATCAGCCGCCTCCTGCACATCCCCCACTGGGGATGTGCCAGCAACCCAGGTACATGCCCTTGACCGGAATCGAACCTGGGACCCTTCAGTCCGCAGGCTGACGCTCCATCCACTGAGCCAAACCGGCTTCGGTGGGAAATATACTATTTTGTTAAGTCACTGTGGTTTGGGGTGGGGAGATTGGTTAAAGCCTTTAGCCACACTGACTAATAAAAATGACCAACTTGCTGGGCTGAAGTTGGCAAAGAAATGAGAGGGGGCAGCTACGGTGGTATCTGGCCACATCTCCCATCTTTTGTCTGTACTTCACTCACGGAATCTCTTTCAGGTTCTATCCTATCTAGATCTAAAGAAGATGTTCACCTGCCTCAGGGCCTTAGATGACTTTTTTTAACTGCTCCCTCTATCCTCCTAGGAACTCACACACCCAACATGGAAGTGAGTTCCCCATCCTTGGGGGTATTCAAACAGAGGCTAAATGGTCATTGTTAGAGATGCGGTGCCAGTTCTGGAATCAGGAGGTGAACTGGACAAGGTATCCTCAAAGGCACATAAACCATAGGGTCTGCTTCTTCCCTGCTGCCTGCCAGACCCAGGGTAGGGGTGTGGGTGGGAGAGAGGAAGAAGCTGTTAGGATGCTGGGGCTTTTCAAACATGTGTGAGTACCTGCTTCTCTCAGACCCCATCAGTGAGAAGGAAATGGCCAGAATATCCCAGTCTGTCCAGAACCACCTGCTCTGTCCCTGAGCTCCTGGAGAAAGGTTCAGGAGACCCTTTGGTTTGGTCTGGTGGCCCCATATGATGACCCCTTGAGCTTCTTGAGCCCATGGCAGACATGGGAATCCAAGGAAAGAGAATCAAGTAGCTGCCTGAGCTTCAAACCCTCCTGCTCAAGACTGAATTCCAGGCAAGGTCTCTTCTTACAGACTCCAGGTGGGTCCCCCGGAACTCTAACAGACCATGGCCTCCTTAGGCATTGCCCTGGGCAGGTGGAACCCTGGCCAGTCAGCTCTCCTCCAGGGGCCCAGCAGGTCAGTCTTGCCCGCGTGTTCCTGCTGCTCCCCTTCCCTCTGGACCCTCCTTCTCTCCGCTTGGCCAAGACAGACCATGGCCGGAGGCAGCCCTGGGCTACAGGCTGGAATAGGTGGCACCTTTGGTCCACAGAGGTGCCCTCATAGATAACTTCAAGGAGTGCCATGGTCTCACCCTGTATCTTCAGCAGGAGGCAGCCATGCTGCTTCTAGTGATTAGGTTGCATTGACGCCCACCTCCACCTGTTGTTTTTGGGGTGTTTTTTTTGCGGGGGGAGGGGGCACACTGGAAGTCCCAGAATAGCCCTGTCTGGTTTGACCATGACCCAACTGGAAGGGATCTAGAAGCCCAGAACTATGTGGACCTTCCAAGCCACATTCTGGGTGGGGAAGGGGAGAACTAAGGGGAAGGGACAAAGGCAGCATCTCAGATTGTCAGCATAGAGAAGCCGTCAGAGATTATCTGACCCAAGACACTACCTGCTACAGATGGGGAAGCCTGTGGCCCAGAAACAGGAAGAGATCTGCCCCAGGCAATCATTATGGGATGCCGATAGGTCTGTAGGCTTAGAGCTCTGAGCAATTTGCAAAAACTTTATCTAGACTACTAGAGACTGATCCCTATGCACCCTTCCTCCATTCACCCATGCTTCCTTCATTTTATCTACCCATTATCCATCTTTCCTTCCTTCCTTTCCCCTCCCTTCCATCCACACATCATTCACCCTTTTCCCTCCTTCCCTCTCTCTCCCTCCTTCCATTCCTTCCTCCCTTTTCTCCACTTCTCTCTTCCATCCAACAGGCATGCATCCATTCTTTCTTCCTTCCCTTCCTCATCAAGCGCCAGGTTATGCCCAGCACAGAGGGGAATCCTCAGGGAGGAACCCTCAAGGAGGATTCCAGCCCAGGCCTCAGGGAGCTCCTTGCCCAGCGGAGGGTAAAGGACACTCATAGAGGCAATGCGGTGGCCTGGAAAGGTGAGCCCCTCAGCCCCATGAAGTGGTGAGGCTTGGACAAGGTGGGACAGGGTAGGGACTTAAACCAGGTCTTCCAACTCCAGAAACAGCTCTGCGAGGGTCCGGACAGTGCCGCCCTGGGTCACCACAGAGGAGGACCAGGAAAGCAAAGTGGAAGCACCTGACAGAGGTAACTTCCAACCCAGGTTTACCCAGCACTTTCCACACCAGAGTTGCCAACGCTCTTGGAGCTAAAACAGCCCTGTCTGCTGGGTATTTGGTCCCAGGTTCCCTCTGGAGGGCCCCGTCTTGGAGCTTGGCATTCACAGCCCACACTCCCCACGGGCAGGTCATGCCCCAGCCATACCCACTTCCCTGGCCTTTGTGAGAGAGGGATGCCAAGAGGTAGGGCCCACTGTACCCGTGGGCTCCCGATCCTGGGCGATGGCAGAAGGGAAGAGGCACCTCTCCTCGCTGCCCCACCAGCCATGGCATCACCCTCCTAATCTGACCCACATCCATCCTCCTCTGTCCCCTCTGCTTATATGTGACTCTCTCTCAACAGGGCTACTGCCACCAAAGCTAACAGGTTTTAGGCGTCAGTCTTGGCCACCAGTCCAGCCTCCAAGCCAGAGGGAGCAACTGGCTGGGATCCCAGCTCTGCATGCCGCCTGCCCGTGCTGCCCACGGAGAAAAGCCTGACTCCTCAGCCGGGCATGAGCTGCTGTGCCCTGGCCTCCCCGATTTCCTTACATGCACCCAATGTTCTTGCCAGATGCACCCCTGCCATTTCTGACCCCACACCTCCGTGTCTCCCCATCTCCGCATCATCACACCTGTTGTTCCTTCCACCAGAGTGTTCCTGCCCATCTTTCTCTGGAAAAACCCCTCATCCTTCAGCACCCCAGGAAGTAGCCCTTCTGGGCTCTTCATTGCAGCTGAGACCCTTACGAGGCAGCAAATAAAGGGACTCCCCAAGGAGCCTCTACATTCACCCCCGGGAGACTACATTCACCCCCGGGAGACAGCCAGCCTGTCTCCAACTCCGCTCATGAGTGCCCAGGGAGGCTCATGGGAATAGCCCAGACTCACTCCCAGGTGCCCCACAGGCCCCTAGAGCTGTCATCCCATTTGCTCCTCTCACAGGACAGGTCTTGATGGGGAAAATGAGGCCCAGAAAGAGGTCAAGTCTTATAAAAACTCGGGGAGGAAAAAATCCTTGGTTCTCAGCCATCAGCGGAGATCCTGTCTAGATTCCTTCCTCTCTGGGCCCCAGAGCCAAAGGAGTGGGGATGGGGTGGACAGCAGCAGCCAGGCCTGGAGCCAGACACTAGGCCTTCTTCCCAGGGAAGCTGGCAGAGGTGGGAGCCGGGCCTCCCGCCCTGCCTAGGCTCCCTGGTGCCTTCCTTTTGGCCTGAGCTGCCAGCAGCCTGGTCCTTTGTCACAGGCAGAGGCCCAGCAACACCCGGGTCCAAGTGGGCTCTTAGGAGGGCTGTGGAGGAAGGTGCCCTGGTTGCTCAGACCACATTCTCCGAAGCCTAGAGACTAGCAGGGCAGTCACGGTGCACAACCAGCGCAAGAGCTCACATCCCGCTGAGTCCCCGGCTCCCTTCTGTCCAGCCTCAGGGAAGCTGAGCGTAGGAAGGAGAGAGGAGGACGCTGCCCAAGCTAAGGGCCTCTTCTGCGCCTTAATCCTCACACACCCAGTCAGACAGGTGGCTGTGCTACGTTGTGCCAAAAAGCGAACCCAGGTGCAGAGAGGTTCAAGGACCAAGTGTTGAAAGCTAGGCTTGGACCCGAATCGATCTAGCTCCAGAACCTAAGCTCTTTCCACCACTAGAGTGACCACAGCTCTTGGGGCTAAAAACACAGTCCTGTGCACTGGGGAGCTGACCCTGATCATGTCTGAATGGTTCATCTTGGAGGTTGGCACCCACAGCCCAGACTATTTGAGGGCAGGCTATGCCCATTGCCAGTGACGAGAGAGCCGGGATGCCTGGACCCACAGGCTGGAGCCCAGCCACACCTGAATGGCTCTTGGGCCGCTTTGCCCAGGACTTGGTAGTGCCTGGGGCTAGAGCAGCCCCGGGGGCTGGCGTGCAGCCACACCTTGCTCAGGGAATCAATGCTGACAGCAGCCTTGGATGGTCTAGCCTGCATCCCCACCTGGCCCACTTCCTTGAAGACTCAGAAGGCAGGTGGAAGATGACTTCAACTTGTTCAAGAAGCTCAGCCAGAGGGAGGCGGAGAGAATTTAAGGGGAGGGGAGGATCTGGGATCAGTGGACCCCTAGCAGGGAGGGAACCTCTGCCTAGCAGACCCAGGGCAGCAAGCCTGGGCTGTCGCTCCCTGTAGGGGCTGCAGGCAAGGGCAGGGCTGCACCCCATGTGAACTGTCT